GGCCTACATCTATATGCATTGTCTCCAAGAAGTAAATCACGAATATCACGCCTTTCCATTAGCATTCTGACTTGACCCTGGATATCCAACTATAATATCCATAATTTCCCTTTTGGGACCTGAACATTTAGACTAAAAAAAATTTTTGCGATTTTGAAATACTTCCACATTATTGCATTATTCTTGATCTGGCTTATTGTAGGTTGGCAAACACCACGCAAGTCTCTATTTACCATCTGAAAATTACAAGTCGTATAAAAGTGTAAACAAATTAGTAATTGAACAACGGGGAGAATGGGTAAACCACGATTGGTAGGTTTTTGCAAGTCTTCAATTTATAAGAGGTAAAATAGTTTCTGTAATTGTAGCCTTGTTAAACCTATATTGGCATAAATCCCCCCTCGCTAAACATTTCTATTGGATTTCCTGCATCCCGTATATACCTTTTGGAACTCGAAGACGATTTTCTTCTTCCACATGGTCCAAAAATATCCTCAAACTCTTCTAACATATTCAAAATTCAAAACTGTTTAATCAGACAAAACGGATTTACAAGGGATTTATTTTGTTTCCTAAAAAAGTTAGGTTAAGAAACTATCCACAGATCACATAAACTATCCAAAATGACAATCTCCAAAATGAAAATCGCAATCTCCAAAATGACGTTTGCTCGTGTATTCTGTGGATTCCGCTCTCGAGAGCCCAAGACTATGGTGTGTAAAAACGCGAATTGCGATTTTGCGAAACTGCTCTCATTGGTCCAATTTTACTGATCATGGCGGCGCTGTCAGAAATTTTAAGATTTTGGCGATTCGCAAGATTTAAAATTTGGGGGGCGGGAAAATTAAAGTGTTTTCAACTTTTTGCGAATATTCGCGCGATTTTAAGGTACGCGTTTGCGCAGAATGGTGTTGTGATCCGGTTATCGATTATTTTGACGACGCTGCTGCAAAGTAACTGAAAGCATTTCTCCAGTTGAAATGGGTGCTCGTACATAATATCCTGACAATTTTTCAACTTCAACCAAGTTATCAAACTCCTATACAGACAATCTGTGAAAATTCCTAAATTTTTTCTCATTTTTCTTCCTTATTTTTTGAATTAAACTGCGACAAGCACCTTGTTGCTTACGAAATTTGAATATTTCACATGTCCCAAATGGCCCATAAATGACCTATAAACCTGTGCTATAAACCCATTCTCTTCTACGTTTTAACAATAAGTAAATGGCAATTTTACACCTTATTCTATTCCAATCCCACAATCGTAATCGATATTCATAATTATTAAACAAATTTAAACTCATATTGTATGCTATAAAATATAAAATAAAGATCGTAAACACGAATAAATATGTATAAAACAAATTAAGTTATCTCAGGTTATGATTTTTTTTTGGTAACTTTCAGTGGAGCAAAAATGAAATGTCCCTAAAAATTCGCGACTGTATGAAATAGGTCCAAATTTTGCGAATATTTTTTGGCGAATCGCTTTTCGCAATTCGCGATTCGCGTCTATATGAAACAAGCTTAAATTCTGTGCCAAGACCGTCTTGGCGTCTCGAGATGCAACTATAAATACCAGCCCAAGATCACATCCTAAATCCTAACTTGATTTATTAGATAATATGCTTTTTATTAAAATTAGGTAAGGAAATTGAAATGGATAAGACCAAAGGATAAGACGTCAGTAGTAACTCTGGTAGTAAGGTATTAATATTATACTTGTGTAGTAAAGAGGCCTATGAAAAAATGCAGGATTTGCAATAAGTAATAAGGATTTTGCTGCAGTAACCTAATTTGTAGTGAATTTTTTATAGGAATAAGCGACTTTTAACTGCAGTTTGGGACTATGTTTATGTAAATTTCAGGGTCCCAGTATAAGCTTGATGCTGTCATGATTTTATGAATCAGCAATTTTAAATTTTCTCAATACAAACCTTCATTTGAAAATGTAGACAGAACATAAAAACAATTTGACTGAAATAAAATAACATTTTATTTGTTATTATAAATATGCAAAAATTATACACATAATCCTAGCAATGTGATATTAGGTACAAAATCTAATACAATTACTTAAATGTAAATGATCCTAAAATGTATTAATACAAATGAAAAATTAAAAAAAAGAATAGATAAATATCTATGATCTACTAAACTTATCGGTAATGGTGTGGATCCGGTGGCTGACCTTGAAACGAGTTTTTGCTGCATATAGTCACAGACACTACGCATGCGCACATCTTCGATGTTGCCAGATTGTGAGTTATTTTGGAATTATTTTCAGTAGAAAACAAATATGTGCTTTTCAGTGTTTTTTTGTCAATATATACCGTATGATCGAAAAAACGGCGTCCAGTTGGCTGGGAAATGACGATTGAGGACATTTACCATATAAAATGACAGCGGTCTTCATTTCATAGTCATCGCTGACGCTATTTTTTTTTCAATCATAATACGCGGTATATTATTTATAATTATGATTTTAATATTTCGCACAACACGTGGACGCTTATTATGTATTTTCATAGTCAATAAAATTATATAGAAATAAAACTCTAGATTCCTATCTAGATTATTATGCTACCTTTAAAAAGTGCTTTATTAAAAATTCGGGAAATTAAAAGGGATGTGTCCAAGTTTTTTCTTTTTTTTTTAATTTTTAAATGCTGTAGCTCCATGTCATGTTCATAATAGTTTTTTTAACATTCCATCAAAACTACACGGAGGCCTTAAAAGGCCTTTTAACCTCCGTAATTAAAATTGTAGAATCAGCTTCAGCAAACATTAACAGTTACCTTGTTTAATTCTGCTTATACATATATTGCATTAATTTTTCTGCTACATTAAGATTTCTCTATTCTTACACCTAATTTATGTGATTTTCTTAGCATATATATTTATAAACTATATTTTTCCTAATGGAAGGATGAATAGGATATGCAAAATTAAGATATTTTAACATTATTTAAACAACTTAAATTCCAGACCAAGCATAATATAGTATTAAGATGAAGACATAACAAATATTATAAGAAAGATCTTAATATAAATCACAAACTAAGTCTTAATTTAGTCTTGTATTTCTATTATTATTATATTATTCTTATAAAACTAATAAGATCAAAACTCAACCTTCACCATATTGTCAAGATTTGGCATTATAGGAAACAAGAAATTACAGTAAATTAAGAAAAGAATAACAAAGTATACGATATTAAATACTGTAATGTATTTTACGATACAAGCCATCTCCCTTCTAAAGAGAAAAAGATAAAACATAAAGCTTATTTTAGTCTTATCAACACACTCTTCGATAAAATCCACTAACTTGATATCTATGCTTGATATTTTTAAGAAATTATGATACAAACATTAATTATAATCAAAGTATATTATATTAGTAACATTATATAATAGGTAAAATGTTACCTCTATCTCCGATTGCCGTTTATTGTTCTATAATAAGACCCGTCATGGTAGTACTTCAAAACATCAATACATGCATATAATCAAAAACATTGTTGCCTGTAAATAACTAGAAATTAAATAACTTGAAAGAAATAAAATAATTCTAATAAGTTTAAAACCATTAAGAAAAAATCCGTAAATGACAAATTTTAATTCTAATGTAAACATATAAATAAATGTTATTATTAATACAATTTTATATATTATAATACTTTCATTTCACAATCTTCATTATCCTACTTACCTTAATTTTGGATATCAAGATAAATCTGAAATTATAGAATTTGTATTATTATTGATTAACACGCAAAAAAAATTTTTCAACTGCAAATAATTCGAAAATAAACTGCAATTTGGCAACATCGACGATGTGCGCTTGCGTAGTATCGATGATCAAAAGCAGCAAATATGGGCTTCAAGGTCAGCCACCGGATCCACACCTTTACCAACTTATCTATACATAACACACAGTCCTTATCCATATCTTGCATAGATGCAGTTTTAGTTTTTATTGCCTCAAAAACAAATTTATTTAATCCGGAATATATTTCCCAGTTATTAGTTAACCTATGGAGAGTGCTCTCTTGGAAGGTAAGCAAAGTGGCTTTCTTAAAAATGTATATGCATTTGGACCATAGACAAACTAACAAAAGCAAGACTTTTCAAAGGATTGAGGAAGTCGAATTATTGTTTTTGCGCTGGCCAGTTGAGACAGAAATCATCGCGCAGTCGCACTCGTCAAACCTAACCTAAATAAAACGAAAAACGCTTTTGCCTTGAACCATCCTTGAACGAACTGTTGAATGTTGAATTCCTGATTTTGCGTTTTGTTTGGTTTGGTTTGGTTTGGTTGCCTTGAACCATCCTTGAACGAACTGTTGAATTCCTGATTTTGCGTTTTGTTTGCTTATTACTATTATTTTATTAGCGTACAAAACGAAAACAAATAATTTAATACATTTTACATTTATGAAGAACATAATAATTACTGTGATTATACATATTATTGTGATTACATCGCTAACGTAGACAAAACGAAGGTCCTACAAATTGACTGTAAGTTATAAGAATCTCTATCTTTTTAATCTTTTTATGATTTGAATTTTCGTGCTTTATATTTTATAATAGACTCGAAATGTTAATATTTTTGCAAATTCTTGTGAAAATGTGAAGTTTATGTTTTTGTTTTATATTTGAAAAAGTTGTATATTTTTAAGATGTTTCTTGTTGTTCCTATTATTAATATTATAACATACATAATTATTTTTTTGTACCTTTTGAAGAATGCTTTTATTTCGTTTACCATAACTGTTGTTTTTTTATCATCTTTTTTGTTATTTAATAAGAGGAATACGTTTTCGTTTATTTAACTTTTGTTTTTATATCTGTTATGTCCAGAAATTATTGTTTATTTTACCGATGGAAATAAATTTATTTGATTTTAATAAACGCTTTTTAATTAAACATCCTTGTCTAAAAGGCTACTACAAAATACACAATCCATAAGTAAACCGTCCTCGTCTAAAAGGCCAGTTGACGCAAGCGCGGTAATATACTCTTATCAAACTTGTTACCGTTTTGCAGTACAGCGTTGACGCGTCTTGCTTTTGTTAGTTTGTCTATGATTTGGACTTAAAATATAAATTGTTAATGCAAATTGTTTAAATTCGTTGGTATATCGGTATCCATATGATTTCCTTGAGGAATTTTGTAAGCAAAGTTCAATAAAATTAGCCATTGACGAAGAAGAGTGTTCCTTACAGAAATCTATAAAGTCTTCATTTGTAACATTTGTTTTGTCGGTCTTCGGATGAAATTCCAACTTTCTTTTCAAACTTCTAATTTGTAACCTTAACCCATGTTTTCTTGGACTGTCTGCACTAAGGGATGTAGTTTAGTTTAGTTTATTTATTAGTAATAACATACAAGAAAGTATTTTTACAAGTCAAAAAAAATATATATATAAAATGATAAAAATTGATAAAAATTTAGTTTCTACAGTTTTTTTTTGTTGTTTAAAAAAAATACATAGTGTTGTATTTGAAATAACGAAGTTTTTATGTAAAGTAAATATTTAAAATAGACCAGCAATTTTTGATACCTCTGTATACATTTAAGGATGCAATACATTTTTTTTAGTAAAGTTTATTTCTCTGGCTACAAAGTCAGCACAAGAATTAACTCTTAAAAATTAATGTACAGGGTGTTGACAAACTTTGTTATTATAACATGCATATTTAAATGTCTTTAAATATCTCAAAAACTAAAGCTTTTAAACATATTCAACCCTTATAATAAATACCTTATTTTATGTCCAAGAATCCAAAAATGAAATAAAATACTGGGTGTGTTCCATAAGAAAAAATATAACTTTGGTATGGATCTTAGTTCTGGCACACCCTGTACATTTCAAAATAATATTAAATCAAGTACATTGCCTTTCCACATATACCCATAAAATATTTTGTTTCTATTTAATTAACATTTCTTTACGTTTTCGTATAATCAACCGAGGCGAATGAGGTGCGCCACCCTGTATTTAGCCTTGTGTTTATAAAGTATTTGCTCACCTTCAGATGTAACTGCCTTGGATGTTGATGGAATAGCGATTACATCTGGTGAAGTAGATTCCGAAACAGCTGAAAACATAAAAAAATATTTATTGAAAACTGGAATTCTATACCCTATTGCATTGTGTTTAAAAGGTTAAAAAAATAGTATTTTACTCACCTTCAGATGTAACAGGAACAGCAGGAATAGTAGCTTCAACTTCCATCATGGAATTGTCTACAAAAATATATTTATTTAATTTTTTTGAGCATAACACAAACACAATTTTAAGAGGCAAAATTGAAAGCTAAATGTTATTGTCAAAAGTTTTTGTTTTTCAGTAATATAGTATTTGTCCATAGGTATTTGTCATAAAAACATTGAAAATATTACACAGAACCACCACAAACAGACTGAAACTGGATTTTCTAAGTGCCTATCTATAAACAATTTTTGTTTATTTAAATGTTCGTTTGTGCAAGTGTATAAATCGATTGTGCAGATAAACAAGCAACTGATGATTTGAAAAAAATAACAAGTAAAGGAATAACAATGCTTATGAACCCACCTGACATCAATAAAGTTGGAACAGCAAATTTCTTTAGACGGCTTTGACAAATTTCCGCAAACATGGTAGGTTGAAAGTGTTTTCCACAAACTCTATACTAAAACCAAAAACAGTTAACCTAATTGAACCTTGACCTAAAACCTTTGACATTTGAAAGTTACATACATAGGTTACATCAAATACGTTTTAATTAAAATGTATTTGGGTTACATAAACTACACCCCCATACTACACCCCACACTACACCAAGACTACACCCTCTCCATAAACTACATTAACTACATGTAATGTAGTTTATGTAGTTTTTAAAAATAACATGTAGTTCTCCGAACCCTGATGCCGCCACATGAATTTTTAACAGATTTTTAAGAAACAACCCTGGTTTTAGTTTTTGTTGTTTTATTGGTTACTATAGACAAATGATATATACTTGTATTCATTTAAAACTTCCCAATATGGCGGACTTCAGTATGGGAGGCTTAAAAAACGAAAATCTCTAGACTGGAATCGACTGTAGTTGAAATCGTTCAAATTGATAATCTGTGGTAAATCCAATTGAACTCTGACACTTAGCTGACATTGACGTTAACGGTTCCTTTTTCTAAATATTTTCATTATTTTTTGAGTTTTTATTCACAAATTCTACTGGATTTTGTTCTTTTATTTAACCTGCAGCCTGATCTTTTATTTAGCCTGCAGACCATCACCGATCAAGAACTGATGAATAGGCTGGAAAAAATTCAAAATGTGTAAAACGCTTCTTAAAAACGTATTAGAAAACATTGACTCGTCCACAAATTCGTGAAAATAAATTAGTCCAGATGTTTGTAAAAAGGTCTCTAATTATTTTGAGAAGTTTCCTCGTATCAGTAATTTTCAGGTTTGTAATATGTATATGATAATAAATAGATTAAAACTTATATTTCAGGAAACAGCGCGGGCATTACAGATTGTTGTAAATCAATTTTAAAATATAAAGAAGGTTTAAAAGTTGAGTTAGTAGAGAAGACCTAAATAAGGTAATGTTGGTAATGGGACCAAGGATCAAATAACACTTGAAATATATAATATGTACAATAATTGTAAATAGTTTTTTTGAATCTGTTTGATATCTATTGCATTGTTTTTATATTTCTTGAAATATATATTTTTTTCCTTTACAGGATACACAAAGAATAATAAAAAATACAGTTACTCACTAAAAGCACTTAAGGTTTGTAATAGATGTAGTTAGAATATCAAACACCAAACCAAACCAAAAATTATGTTTTATTTTACTGGTATTCCTCGCATTTGAAAGGAAAATCATTTCATAAATAAGCAGAAGGACATTGTATATTACACTCTATATTAATAATTCTTTTTTATCTTATACTTGTTAGTTGACACATTCCTTACTAGGTATAAAATTTAGTATTGATTCCAAACCTATAGTTGTGGTTGTGACATATTCTGATGTGTCTGGCAATTTAAAATAAGTTAATATTTAAACAAACATTTCTGGCTTTCTTGACAGGAGTGTGAACACAAATTTAATAAAGGTATAATGTGGATAATGTTCTGATTATTACAGTTTGCATGGATGTTTTTGTATGTTGTTATTTTTAATAAAGTATATTTAATGAGTTTTTGAGTATTTCTTTTTCCCTCAGAGGATTGTGTGTTCTAATCTTTATATATAAATTTTCATAAATTATATCTACAAAATTTATTACCTTATAACTTTTTGCTAAAGACTTTGTAGTTGATACAGTTTAACAGTATATAAAAGAAATATTCAAATAAGATGTTTGAAAATATATAGCTGTTTTTGCACACATCAATTCAATTGTCATTAACTGTACTGAAATAAAAACAAATTAAGAGAAATGAGATGATCTATAAACTATAACATGAAACGCATCATCCTATTTCCAAGTCTTCTATTAATTTCACTTATTAAACAACTATAATTATTCAATAATCTTGATAATTCTAGGAACTCTCAGATATCGTCAAAACACGAAAACAAAAATTCACTTCCTATAGTTCTTACGTTCCTTTAACTGAAATAAAAGAAACAGGGGAGTTAATATTCTCACTGAGAAAGTTTATAAAATACCTTTAAGTAAAATCTTTTCGGATCTGCGGAAAAATACCTTTATTCTTATTAAATAATTTCAATAATCTATGTTTTTATTTATGACAACAACCTAATAACCTAACTTTAACGTCAACTTGACAATCCTGAAAAATGTTATTGTTAACCAAAGACTAAATCAATTTCTAAATTCGCTAACGCCAACTTATTTTTCATTAAAAAAAAATTACCAATTTTCGTAACTAGGTCGGCCATATTGAGGAACTTTTAAAAGAATTGTACTTATAAGTAGGTACAAGGATATATAGAATAAGGATATTCGACTGGCCCAAAAAAAACGTGCCGTATTTTGTCGAGGAAGACGATTTCGTCACGACCAATGGGCGTCGAGTATTTGAAATTGAAAACATATAAATTGACGGTAACCTATGTTTTTTGACTCATTTCACTGACAAATGTGATGAGATTGTTATTGTAATTTATAGATCCAAAATCCAAACGTTTTTTGAATAAATAATTTATTTTAAAGTTATTTCCTAGAGGTTTGGTTTGGCCTTCTATATTCTGGTATTTGTCTACTAATAAATAATATCTTATTTTGTATTTCGATGTATGGAAATTCGCAAGTTTTGTATCTGAAGCCGCAAAGAAATTTCGCTCTGTAGTGAGAAAAATGTTATTATATCTTTTTAGACGTGTAGAATTACAAAATTTCTTATTTCAGATGTTCTAAATGTGAGTGCTTAATGTCAAAAATTAAAATATATACTTGAAATATTATTTCAAGTTACATGCTTTGACATTGTTTGGAAGTAAACAAATATTGAAGAAAGTGTTGTGCCTTCACAGAATTTAAATTGGCATTAGGAATAGATTTCCTTGATTTAGTAATGATATTGCTCATAGAAATTGATGATATACTATTTTATATTCACTCGTTCAAGTGCTGATCTATTTTTAAATTGAATATTTATGTAAATATTATGTACAACACGATATAAATAATTTAAGGACATAAGAAATTAAAATTTCAAGTGTCAATATTGATTATTTTTCCAGTTTTATTCAAATATATTGAAATTAATATGGAAACAAAAGTTCATAAATATTATTCTTAATAACAAGAATTGAGATTTGGGGATAAGTTGGAAAAGCCATGTCAGAAGAGTAGGATTAAAGACAAAGTATTAAGGTAACATAATATATTTGCATAAAGTTTTAATAACACTGACAATTTTATTTGTTATTTGTTTATGTATTAATTAAAATTTAGTTGCAATTTATTTCATATTCTAATATTTTTGAGAAAATTTTACTTAGATACATACCTGAATATTATGCTGCTTTTTTATTTTAAAGTGTGCCGACTGTGCTGTTATTTTTATACTAGTAATATTGTATACTGTAGGTATCAGATTCATATATATATATATATATATATATATATATATATATATATATATATATATATATATATATATATATATATCAGTAGTATAGATACTTACTTTCTTTCTATGCGTACTTATATCCTTTATAGTCTTTCTAAGTGCATATAATACTACTTTTTTAAGAGAAGGCAGTTTTTAATAATCTATTGTTAATTCCCCTAATTCTGTGTCCCCTGGTTCTGCTATACAACAATTATATATTTTTTTATCATTACTGATTTTAAAAGTTTCTTTTCAAAGAATTTGACCATATATTTTTTTTTCAGAGTAATTGGGCTGTTCCTGAACAATATTGAATATAAATATTCAAAAATATGATAACTGCATATCCTACTAAGTAGATCAATACCAAAATCCCATTAGAGAAATAAGTTAAAATTATGTTTTACTTGTATAATTTTCTTGCTATTTGTCCACCATTATTTGTGACTTAGAAATTAAATAGTCAAAAAGAATTTAGTACCAGTTTTTATTTCCCAAAAAAATTGTTAAATAATTACATATTGCTTAAGATACAGTATATTATATTGTGTTTATAGTTGATAATTCTAGTTCTTAGTTGTTTATAGTTGATAATTAACAATATTTCTGATGTTAGATATTATATTAGATAAAAAATTTAATTACCAACAGCTACCTACCTATGTAGCTGCAGATTATTATATTGTGTAGTAGGTACTGTATAATTCTTTAGTTCAAGAAACAAATATCAGTACAAGTATATAACCAAAAAAATGTTGATGCAAATTCTTTGTATAACATACGTACCCCTATGGTATTCAACTTTTCATTGTTCTTTTAATTAGATACACAATAAGCACATTAATTCGTTTATTATATATTTATTACCAAACCAAAACTCTAACTACTTAAATTCACAATATAAATATCACAATAAATGTATAAGCTTTGATCAATTCCTATTATTAATACCTGACGACTTCATACTTTATAACTAACACACTAGCCAACTAATAATAAATCTGTTCTAAAAAAATACAACATAAAGACATCGTTATTGCAATAATATAGAAATATATTCCATGTATCATTAACTACCTAGGTATAAATACAATACCCACATCTTCTTTTAAGCGAATAGTGCATTAGGAGGCAGAAATATTGCCTGCATTGTACATCGTACAAATTGGCTAGAATTTATTAATATCCATTGCAAACATTTCTCTTTCAAAGGGTCTAAATGTTTTGTCTTTTTACTGTATCCCTGTAATATGATATCAATTAACAACAGTTATCAAATATAACCTGGACAATAATAATTGTTTTAACTTTTTTTCAAACTAAACTCTTTAAACAAACTATACAGGGTGTCCCAGAAATGAGTGCAGATATTTTAACTGGTAGTATAGTTCAACCCCAGAAACACGCCTATGAGGTTTTTTTTGCGAAAAAAAAATGTTGAAAATTTTATATTTTTCTTGACATTTTCCGGAAAATGTTGAAAAACTTTTGAGTGCCACTGTTCACTCCCCGGGAAATTCGTTTACCGGGCATAGAGAGTGTCGGAGAGAATGCAACGTTGCCATCTCCTACCATACCCACATTCTGCATGTTTATCTATAAATTCAATTATTTTAAGTTGCTACAGAAAAAAATACGAAAATTAATTTTATTCATATTAGTGTAGATTGCTCTACTAATTCTAGTGAAACGCGCAATATTTTAAATACTTTTTACAGTGGAGTAAACTGAAAAAAATAAATCTTAACAATTATAGCTTCTTTTTTCGCCATATTAGAAAATATTTTCAATCGTTTCAATAAACAAGTATAACCTTTAATGTTTAGTTAGAGCTTACCCTTTTAATGAAAGTGTTTTTATCCAGCACACATATACGCAAACACATACACACCAAATATCTATTAAACTGAAAATCACAAACCTATCACATGCTTATCACTTTTAAAATATTATTTAAATTTTTTCACATGATAATAATCAAACACTAAACTCATAAATACAATAAAAAATGTTAAAAAAAACTTGCTTTAATAACTACTTATATCCGGCTGCTGATGGTAGACAGTCCGGGGTTTTCTTCGACATTTCTTCAAAACCGACGCAACCCCGATTTCGAAAACACTGAAGGAATTACAAATTACAATTTTTTATTTGGGAATTTTTTGACTTAGCGTCCTCTACTGGACTGATGTATTACTATTATGGGTCAACGTTTTGGTGGTTGTATAAAGATAGATAAATCAATTTTCTAAATTTTAATGTATGGAGTAGGGATATCCCAAAAATAAAATAAAAGTACAAGAAAGGGTATACCCAAGAAAGAATTAAGGTAAAATCAAAGAGTATTCTACGTTATCTAAAATATAAAAATATGGGAAGCCCCGACAAAAATCTGACACCTGATATCAAAGTGATAAACAAACATCGGCGCATGCGGCAGCGAGCACTTACACTTAATTTTTCAGTTCATTGCTAGATGGCCTTTTACTAGGGATGCACTGCAAACAAATATTCCAGCAAAACTAAAGTGTTTTTTCTTATTCTAAATTCTAACAAATAAATAAACCTGTAAAACTGTATAAATAAAATCGGTCTTCGATTTAAAAAAAAAGATCGATTATACCAAAAAATCGTTTGATAAAAATCACGTCGATTTGATAATAATCGATTCGAATCGTACATCCCTAGTATGGTGTGTAGTTTAAGGTTATGTTTAAGGTTAATCGTGGGTTATTAAACTCGCACAAAAACAAAACAGAAAACAACAAAAAACAATGCAAACAATGCCAAATAAACCTGTAAAAAAGTACTTTTATTATTCAAAATGAAATATCATATAATTCAGTTGGTATACGAATATTTTTTGATTTATTTATAATGTTTGGTGTCAAAAATATGTGAGAAATGAGGTAAACAGTTTAAATGTCTTAATAAATTCGTTTTTAATTTATTAACCTTTCAGGTATCTACCTAATGGTAGGAAGAAATTAATTATGTAATGGTAGGAAAAATAATTTCACTTTAATTATGTATTAGAAAATCAGTAATCTTAAATTAGGATGCATCAATGGAGAAGAAGGCAATTGTAATCACAATACAATAATAGATCTACAAATACCAAGCAATACATTAAATCAAAAATCTCAGTAACACTGTTATTATGTACTCCCTGTGGTCTTATTAGTATAAAGTTTTTGTTTTACATGAAAATAATTATCCCATTTAATTATGCATTAAATTTTAGTGTCAGCTTATTGATAGCTCGATTACCAGTCAAATAGTTTCTGATGTTTTCTATACTATGAAGAAAATTTGATCTGATTAGATTAATCTCAGATGTAAATTTATGTTATACGGTAAAAATATTTTTAAACAAACCAAGAAAGTTCTCTTCAGACATGTTTTCTATACTATGAAGAAAAATTTGATCTGATTAGATTAATTCAGATGTAAATTTATGTTATACGGTAAAAATATTTTTAAACAAACCAAGAAAGTTCTCTTCCAGACAAGTTCTGGTCTGAAATTGCAAATATTAACGAAAAAGTTATACATGTAGTTTTCTATTCATAAATGATATTATTGATTTTATTCTAGGTGAATGTATCGAGTCATATATTATGCAGGATATATTGAGAAAAATGGTAAACTAACTAAAAGTGCTAACAAAATTTCTTAGGAAGTTATCGATATACCTAATTATTAGAAGCTGTAACAAATGTTCAAAGAGTCAGAGTATACTTTATTAGAAGTGTGTTAGATAGAATTATACACTTTAAAGAAAATATCTTTTATTATTGCAGGTAATGCATATTGTGTAATGCATATAATATGTGAAATCTATTATTACATACAAAGATTGAAAATTATTTAAACAGCTACCTGTATGTTGTCTCACAATCTCATTTAGTGAATGGGTTATTAAAAATTGAACATATTTACACACAGAATATTGTGGATATGGATATCTGGAAAGCATGTTATAACCATTTTTATTTTTAGGATTTATGAAATGATTACATAAATATACTAACAACAAATTGCAATGCATCTGTATATTAGAGACAAAGATGAAAGAGAGTAACAAGAATATATGTATTCAAAAGAAAAATATCAAGACCATTTGTAGTAATTAAAATTAAAGAATAAAATACATAAAATGTACCATATGATCGAAAAAAAAACGGCGTCCAGTTGGCTGGGAAATGACGATCAATGACATTTCCTATATAAATTTACATATAAAATGACAGCGACCTTCATTTCATAGCCATCGTTGACGCCGTTTTTTCTCGATCATACGGTAGTTTATGTGTGAACAAATTCTCATTTCATATAAAAATTGGAGCTCTATCTAGAGTATATTTGAATATAAATGTTTTTATGTATTGGAAGGGGGACTGTAGTTTTCAAATATAATAAAGAAAATAGACTAAAAAAACATGTGTGTAAGTTCTTTTTTAAACTATTCTGTAGTTACGTAAATGTGTTTCAAATAGGTTGCTTTTCACAATAAAGTCAATACACAGTAATTATGCTTTACTTTTTCAAAACACACTCTTGTTTTTTATTATCAGAGAGTTATTAATATTAGAAAATTTAGTTACATGAATATAATAGGAGCAAATATTATGTTTCAAGTTTCAAGTAATTAGAATATGATATGAGTCATAATAGCTTAAATATGATTGCTCATAAAATACCTAGTATATACACATTTAGATATATCTCTTTAAATATAAATTAGTATTGCCACCATGCGATTAATGGGAAATACAATATGGTCGTGAAAAAAAAAACGGCGTCAGCGATGGCTATGAAATAAAGATCGCTGTCAATCTATGTGTAAAATTTTATGGAGAATTTCACCGACCGTTATTTTCAAGCCATTCTGGACGCCGTTTTTTCCGACCATACGGTATTTCTAGGTATGGAATTATGTCTCTAATATGTAGTTAGGTAATTTTTTCCATTTGCCTATTGTTAATTATAACGTCGTCAAACTATAAAATTTGCTATATTTTTTAGTTAATTTTTTTTAGTAATATCAAAACATGTTTTGAATAGTTTAATTAGTAATAAAGCTACTAACATATTCAGTTATTCTTTTTTCTATAAAGCTTTTTTGATAAAAAAATGAGTATACCTGCTAAGACGTTAAATTGCCTGAGAAATTACGATCGATGCCATTTACCATCCACTTTTACACAATAAAATGCCATCGATCGTAATTTCAAAAGCAGAAAACTTGCCGCCGTTTTTTCCAATGAAATGGGCGGTGGGGAGAAAATTACAGATTCCTGTATTATATTAACGACTAACGACATTATTAATCGCATGTACACAAAGCATGTACACTATTAGAAATCGATCTAATTTCTAATATTATCGAGCTTTTAAAATTCGAGAAAGTGATCGGAGATTGTGTTTAAAGTGTTGTGAAATGTTCGTTAGTGCATATTTTTGTGTCGGTAATCGGTATCGGTATAGGCAAATCACGATGGAGTATAGAAATCCGGAGAAGGTGGATATGCTAAGAGCATAGGTACTTTCTGGCAGGGGAAAGCGCTGTAGAAGCTCGGAGACTTTATTCCGAAGAGTATCCGAATAGATAAATCCCTAATGCTCGAACCTTTGTAAGTATGGTTCAGCATTTGAGGGATTCGGGAAAAGCAACGAAGAATTGCTGCAAAACGTTAAAAATTCCATGCTCAGAAGAAGGAGAGCATGTATTGGAAATGGAGGTCGTCATTTTGAACAATTATTATAATAGCATGCAGTCAAGAAGCGAAGGGTATACCGGGTGGTGCATCATCGTTGGAAATATAGGATATCCCATGCAAATTTTGAACTGTCGAGATATTGGATCCCCTTGTGCAAATTTGTAATGTATCTTTAAAAACCATTTACGATTTAGCTCTAAAATTAATAGGGGAGCCAATATTTCCACAGTTGAAAATTTGCATAGTGTTGTTAAGAATTGTAGTGAAGTGATGTTATTAAGTGTAGTGTTATGTGCAGTTTTAAGAGTGGTAAAATGGAAAAAAAGAAAGCTCTGCAGTTGTATCTCTCTGCTATAGGGATATCTTTTTTTATTGTTTGGTAAGTTTTTTTTCTTTTAGTTTATTTTGTGTAATGTGGAAAGTAGGGCTACTGGCGATCACCCACTTAAAAAAAGTAACGCACCTCTGCAGAACCTCTTGGATGGTGTGGGATTTTGCAAGTACTTTTTAAGTCTTTCTAGTCGATGTGGCAACAGCGGGCGGCGAACAAGCCGAGATCCGCGAGATCTCTCCCCCGCGCCGGGGGATCCGCGAGATTCCCCGGCGGCTCTCAAAATGTCGCAATTTTTTTTTTAAACTTTCAAAGTTAAATAACTCGGTTATTTTCAATCTATTTTAAAAATGGTAAAGAGAAAATATGTTTCTTTTGGCCAGATCTACCACCCCTTAAAATATCTGCACTCATTTCTGGGACACCCTGTATAAATAAAATTTATCTCATAACCTAACTTGCTGCTAGAATTTCTTTCTTGTTATTCTATGTTCCTGTATTGTTATTCTTCACATTATCAATTTCTATGAGCAATATCATTACTAAATCAAGGAAATCTATTCCTAATGCCAATTTAAATTCTGTGAAGGCACAACACTTTCTTCAATATTTGTTTACTTCCAAAAAATGTCAAAGCATATAACTTGAAATAATATATCAAGTATATATTTAAATTTTTGACATGCACTCACATTTAGAACATCTGAAATAAGAAATTTTGTAATTCTACACGTCTAAAAAGATATAATAACATTTTTCTCACTATAGAGCGAAATTTCTTTGCGGCTTCAGATACAAAACTTGCGGATTTTCATACATCGAAATACAAAATAAGATATTATTTATTAGTAGACAAATACCAGAATATAGAAGGCCAAACCAAACCTCTAGGATATAACTTTAAAATAAATTATTTATTCAAAAAACGTTTGGATCTATAAATTACAATAATAATCTCATCACATCTGTCAGTGAAATGAGTCAAAAAACATAGGTTACCGTCAATTTATACGTTTTCAATTTCAAATACTCGACGCTCATTGGTCGTGACGTAATCGTCTTCCTCGACAAAATACGGCATATTTTCCTACATAGCCCGCTATAGGGAGTTGAATATCCTTCTTCTATATATCCTTGGGTAGGTAAAAAGCCACTTCCATATCTCTGGTAAAAAGTAAAGAGTTAAGTTAATTATTCTATGGTAAAAAGGTTACAAATTTTACAGGTTAGAAAACTGAACTCGAAGGAAGATCATTCTTCAGCTGTGTTCTTCAGAGATACAAAACTTATAAACCATTTTGCGTAAGTACAGTTGGTGCATTTATTTTCAGTAATTTTAGCCTTTTTTTCAATAATTAACAATACTTAAATATGGATGACGAAGCTGAAACTTACAAACTCTGGCGAATTCGAAAAACTGTAATGCAGGTAATTTATATATAGATATTTGTACACGAAGTTTAGATAAAATGTGTGAAATATTGTGTTCCATCTTTAGTTATGCCACGATAGAGGCTATCTAGTAACTCAAGATGAATTAGATCAAACACTGGAACAGTTCAAGGAACATTTTGGAGATAAACCCAGGTACAGCATTGTAGTTTATTTAATATCTATTGTGTGGTTATAAGGTTTAATTTTTTAGTGAAAAAAGGCCTTCTAGAAGTGATTTAATTGTATTAGTAGCCCATAATGATGATCCCACAGATCAGATGTTTGTTTTTTTCCCTGACGAACCTAAAATCGGTATTAAGACTATAAAAACTTATTGTCAAAGAATGCAGGATGAAAACATACATCGAGCAATAATAGTAGTTCAGGTAAAACTTAATCTGTTTATTTATAAATGGCAAATTACAGATGAAAGATTAATTTAGGCTGGTATGACACCTTCAGCTAAGCAGTCCTTAGTTGACATGGCACCCAAATATATCTTGGAACAGTTTTTAGAATCGGAATTGTTAATTAATATTACTGAGCATGAATTGGTTCCAGAGCATGTTGTGATGAACATGGAAGAAAAACAAGAACTTTTGGCAAGGTAAGTAAGTTTTTTTGAAAGTTCTTTTTAATCTTATACTGCTTATTCTTTTATTATAGATACAAACTAAAAGAGAATATGCTTATGAGAATTCAAGCTGGTGATCCTGTTGCTAGATATTTTGGATTGAAAAGAGGACAGGTAAGATGGTAAGATAGATTATGGTCATATTCATTGTCTAATCAAAATAGGGACAAGAAATTTAAATGGGATAAAAATACCACCGATCATGACTAAGGAAAATCAATAATAGTTGGTGTGCATGTCATCAAAATATTTGACCACAAAACATCCCCGTTTAGAACTTCGTCTGTCATGTTAAGAAATGAAAGTAAATAATAAAGCGCCTCTCGTGTTTGTTCGCACACTAAAAATTTCAATTAATGCCTGTATATATTTTTAATAATTTTTTAAATTTACATTTTTTTAATCGTAAAGTAATATATTACATTTAAATGGAATACATTCCATAACAATTATGTCAATTATAAGATTACAAGCTTGTTTTCTAACATTTTTTAAATAAAATGAATTATAATTTCAATATACGTATATATTTGTCGTAGGTATGAAAAAAGTGAAATATAAAATGTACAATCGCTTACTTACATTGCAATAATAACAAAATTTTCGCAGTTTTTACACCATTTGATGACCGGTGGCGCCTCTAGTGTTTGTTCGGGCGGTTGGTCTTTTACTCCCACTTATGGCCATTAAAGAAAAAGTTCTAAAGGGGGATGTTTTGTGTATTTGACTACTGCATATCGCAATGTTGTCACAGCTACTTTGTTACTTTTGACAAGTCTCAAAGACAATTAGTAGCTTTGTCACGTTTTTTTTCACTTGGTACATATACAAATATTTTTTTATATTTGCATTATATCTATTTTGTCTATGATTATTACACAAACAAATTCTAAGTAAATCAAGTTTAGAGCATTAAGGTGTGTTCAGAATAGGAGCGACGAGCGTAGCGTCGCGATAGCGATGCGACGAGCGACTCGTCGACGGTTAAATAGTCTAGTGTTATCAAATCCAAGCAGTCAGAGTGAGAGCGACCAGCGCGGCGACGCGTTGCGATGCGTTGCGTTGCGTTGCGATGGCTTACAGCGACAGCGACGAAAACAAATTGAATTGATTTTTTCGCGTCGTACCAGCGACCAGACGACGTTAAAATGAGTTCCACTGAGGAGGACGTTGCCCAAATATTGATTTCAGAAATTCAGTGAAGACCCCCGTTATGGAACACAAAGCTCAATTTATAGTATAAATGATGGAATTCGCCAAACAAATGTCTTTCTCTATTTATGGGGTGAATTCCGACTTTTCTGTTTAATCGGCCAAAATAACATGGCGTGTCCAGTAACAAAACCAAAGAACTGCCCGAACTGCTCTTGTTGGAGCCATTTTATGAACTGAAAATAAGCGTGTTGTTTGATATTCGACGCGGCTGCAACGCCCCCACTCTTAAACACCATCGCGTCACTCCTACTCTGAACAGGCTTTTAGTCTTTTTGTGAGATTCTACTCATAGTCCCTAAACTAATAATGAGCGCAGTTGATACATGCTGAAAGACAATACAACCTCTCTCGACACTTTTGTCGCTGTTTAATGGCTAAAGGGGCTTGTCATGATCTCTTTCCTGTTCAAAATAATTGAGAAGAGATGAGATGAGTTACTGATTCTAACTATTTAGTGGTTCTGCTATTTTATTACAATGAAAATTGCAGTTATAACTAAACAAAAGTACGAATTTCAAATTTGTCAAAGAAGACTCGGAACAAAATCACAAAACATCCTCCTTGAGAAACTCCGTCTGTTAATAGATGAAAGGTGTCATGTTAATAGATGAAAGGTAAAATATATATATATATATATATATATATATATATATATATATATATATATATATATATATATATATATATATATATATATATATATATATATATATTATATATATTTGACGTCTTTGATGACGTCACACGCTACAAGTTTTATTGATTTCTCTTATATCATTATATAAAAACATGTTTCTGCAACAAATCTATTTTTCTTGTCCCAAATGACCACAATGAGTAATTTGAAATACTCTGCGAAACTACATTTACCAAGTTAACTTACATTTTTTACCAAGATAAGCTATTATTTATTTTTAAGAAATAATACTTGGGGAATAGTACCATATGATCGAAAAAAACGGCGTCAGAAATAGCTGGGAAATGAAGATCGTTATCATTATACACGGTGGTCCGAACTGTATTCCGGAAACTTCGGCAGCATATTCTGCAGATAAAAATAAGTAAAAAAATTCGTATAAATGTATGTCCAAAAATACTTAGTTTCAGAGATACAGGGTGTAAAAGTTTCATTTTTATTTCGATTTTTTCTAAATAATTTCTAAAGTAATGTCATTATCTGGTTCAAAATTGGTGTCTAGGATTTTTTTCCCATGAGAAGTTTGATTTTGATATCAATATACTACTATTTGTAGGGGGCTCCACCTACATGTGTTTTAACAACTGTTTTGAAGAGTAACTTTTCGTCCGTACCTGTATGAAACTACTGAGAAAAAATATACATTTCCGTGATTTTTTATATAAAAAATGTCTTTTGGTAAAAATCGCTACGAGCAACCGTTCTCAAGATATTTAGAATGGAAATAGTCGATACATCACATTATTGACAATAAATAAACATGCTGAGTAGATAGTTATTTGACTGAAATGATAAATTGGGAACTTTTTATTTTTTTTTAAATTAATCATAATTTTTTCTTCGTAAAAATGAAGATAAAACACTTTCTGTTGAAATTTTGGCACAAAATCATTTCAAATGTATGATTTCAGTCTAATAACTATTTAGTCGATATGTTTAATTGATGTCAATGATGACAGGTACCTATTGATAATTTCGATTCGATGTGAAAAAACTCCCAGACACCAATTTTCATCCAAATAGTGACCTTACTTCAGATATTATTTGAAAAAAATCAAAATAAAAATTGAACTTCTCACACCCTGTATCTCCGAAACAAAGCATTTTGGGACTTTGGGACATACATTTATACGACCTTCTCTACGTATTTTTATTTGCAGAATATGCTGCCAAAGTTTCCGGACCACCCTGTGTATCGGTTGCGTCTCAAAAGTGGCTCACCCCTATAACTTTTTTATTTTTTTCAGATAAAAAACTTGGGTTGATTGACGAATTCAATTGTTTTCGGCCACTTCCTGTTTCACCGGAAATGACTACAATTTTTGATTTTTAAATGGTACCCTCGGTATTTTTTACTTTATTCGATAGAAAATGACATTCTGAACAGAATGACATGTCATATGTCAATTCTTGACATTCTAGCATATGGTTTATTTGAAATTGGGCGCATTCAGTAAACACACCGGTTACTCCACCGGTGCAGAAAATTAAAGTGAATGCCAATGGTAACTCACCGGTTGTTGTCACCGATCACTTGAGAGCCTACCGTATTTTGTTTCCGGTTTATTTACTTACCGGTAACTTAATCGTTCAATGAAAAGTTATCGGTAGGTCTTTACCGGTTAATACCGGTGTGTTTACTGAATGCGCCCATTGTAACATCCGGTTCTTAGCGACAATTTGACTCGAAATACCAAGTGTGTGGTACCACATTATTCGTAAAAAATGCTTTTTCCAATTATGCTAATGAGCCACCCTCGTTCCATTTGAAAATATTGAGATATGATTAAAAATACGACTTGGGCATCTTTTAACTAACTTTTAATACGTCTGGTCAGGACAAGACACGCATTAGATGATCAAATCTATTTTTCCAAGGCTCCTTGATTAAAAATTAGTGTTTTTAACACAGCCATGGCACTCTAGATTGAAATTAAAAATATGATTTTTTAGCGAGAATGTCAAAAGTTGACATATTATCATTTTCTATCGAATAAAGTACAAAAATACCGAGGGTGCCATTTGAAAATCAAAAGTTTTAGTCATTGCCGGTGAAATAGGAGAAGTGACTGAAAACAATAATTGAATATGCCAAACAATCCTAATTGATGTCATATACTAAACTAACATACCAAATTTCGTTTTTTTTATCTAAAAAAATAAAATAGTTATAAAATTGTATTATGGGGAATGTCATCGAGCGACATTTTGAAATCAAATGGACGCTGTTTTATTTTTCCATCATACGGTAGTTTTATATATAACTGATTTAAGTATATTATTGAAACTAAAAAATTATAAAGTTTCCCATAGCTGTAACTGTTGGGTGTACAGTACGTCTGCTGGATCTGTGTCTATGAAAGGAATGCGGACAAAAAACATTTAAATAAACAACAATATATTTTATACGTCGACTTGACGAGTACGTCACCGCAAATCACTCCGCCCACTCATTTTATTGGCTACTTGCAAATTTGTCGAATTTTTATTGATGGGACGCGTCGTCTAATTTTTTACGAAAAACATGGAGAGAATATCGTTTCCCCTATCACGGATACCCCGTAGCTACAGAACGGACAGACGTACTGTATTTGTTTAAGTGCCGTATAATCGAAAAAAAAAAGTCCAGTTGGCTGCGAAATGACGATCGATGCCATTTCCCATATAAATTTACATATAAAATGACAGCGATCTTCATTTCATAGTCATCGCTGACACTGTTTATTTTCGATCATACGGTAGTTTTTCTTTCATTCCGTATGTCAAAAGGACTATTAATGTATTTTCTTAAAATATACAAGGAAATTTCAACTTAAAAAGCGGAAATGTTATGTGGGTAATAACACGTAATAATGACTTTCAACGTTTTTTTTTGCAGGTGGTCAAGATCATTAGGCCTTCCGAAACAGCTGGACGGTACATTTCTTATCGTTTGGTGTGTTAGATTAATAAGAACTTTTGTATTATATAAATTATTAAATAAAAATATATGTATTTTTTGCTACCTTTTCAAGATAATTTTAAGATCGGGCAACATTGCCTACGTATCTTCCTCTTCCTGTGGTGGTTGGGCTGGCTGTGACACATGGCCGACATAAACAAATGACATAAAAGAGGGGGTTACCAGCAGGAGAGAATAAATATTAAATTGTTTCATTAAAATGCTGTTTCATTAATATACTTACAAGCAAATAATGTATTTTTTAAAGAAAAAATGAAGACAAGGGCCAATATCTTTAACAATCTAGCCTCCAACGGTAACTGACTAGGGTATCCGACACGAAGTTTCACGAATAATTTTTGATTGCTTTGGTTTTTGGTTTTCTCCCTTTTTTGCGATTCTTTTTTTTTTAAATTTAATACAAATTTGGGTATTGATTGCTTTAAATGCCTAGATTTTAAAACTGATTTTTTTTGTCAAACTTTCACTGTGCTTTCAGTCTGGTGTAAATCTACTCTGATCGTAATTTTTGGCTTGTAATAAATAATTGTCAGTATCGTGGTTAGAACAAATACATTTAAAGACTTTGGGCTAGAAACTACCGTATGACGTATGATCGAATAAAAACGGCGTCAGCGATGGCTATGAAATGACGATCGATGACATTTCCCATATAATGACAGCGATCTTCATTTCATAGCCATCGCTGACGCCGTTTTTATTCGATCATACGGTAGAAGAGCCCCTTGTTCTGTTTTTTAGCCAAAGCTTATCTTGGCTTAGTCCACAAGCCCACATACATCTGGCAACATTGTGCGTCCTGATCCCCCCCTGCACTTTTCCCGACAGTCATTCCTTCGCTGTCATTTTTCGTCAGTCTGTGTCTGACCGCTAGTGGCGTCGTATGGCGCACGACGCGCTGCCGCCCCGGCGCCCCCCGGTGGGCGCTCTGCCCTCCTGTTGTGCCCCCTTGCGTTTACGGGCCCCCGCTCCTCGAAATCCTGATTCTTTGCTAGACATTACGGCGAAAAAAGTGGCCGAAACCGTTCCTTTTGCACGGATCGAAGAACGATACAATCGAATTCCCGAACCGGTTCAAAGAAGAATAGTTTTTTGGAGCTTCCCGAGGAACGAACGCGATATTTGCATGTATTCCAGCCTGAGCAGGGTACAGAGCAACCAAGAACCGGGTAGTTTGGCCTTCTGCAAGGGCATGAAACTGCTGGAGACGGGATGCGTAGACAATGTCCTTCAAGTCGGTGAGTAGATGCATTGTTTATTTACGTTTGGCACATACACACGGAGAGAGTTTTCGGTGGGCGGAGTGCTATAAATATCTCGTAATCAAGTGGGCTTGGGAATTGAACTCGATGGAACGTCTGTATGATGTGTAAGTACTTAACTGTCGGAACTCCGAGAAAAATGAAGGTGCTTCATAAAACCACAAAATGACTTAAAAAAAAGTAGACCACTGTGAGAAGTTCTAGCAGGCTTTTTAATTTGATGAACCGTCCTTGATGCGTATCTGTCGAAATTCAGTGAAATCATAAAAATAGGTTCATTAAACCCTTGATTTTTGAATTCCAGTGCGTTTATTTTATGTTTTCTTTTTCATTTTTTGGCTGTAAGTCTCTTGTTCGTTTATTCACCTCCTAAATGACTTTGAATTTGATAAATGTCTTTGATTGCATTTGTTAAAATTCCCAGAAAACTGAATACCTGCATACGGTTCATTAAACCACAGTATGAATTTATCCAGTGTCACATTTCTGTACTGATGATATTACACATATAATGAACAATAATATTTTCATTGGGGCTTTAAGTAATTTTTAATTAGATGAAATCGTCCTTGATACATGTGCAACTGTCAAAATTCATAGGAAACTTAAAAGTGTTTAATAAACTCTATTTTTATCAGTCGCTATGTTGAAAACTCATTCCAAAAAAAGCAATAAAAGCCAAAATATGTTTGAGGGTTAATTTTGTAATAAACCTACATGTGGTATAGAAGGTCTAGATCCCCCACAGGGCTAAGCATCCCTGATAGTACGTAAATCTCGCTTTTAAACATGTTTTATAAGCATAATATAGAGGCGTTTTAACATATAAATAATATTAGTGATGTGTATAGTTATTACAACAAGACCTTAACTTGAATTCTTAAGGATAAATTAAACAACACTTACTTACCGATGTTATATTGGATTTTCCATTAAATTACCATTATAGAACATTTTTAAATTTATCCATTGTTAATAATATTAATTACAATGTAATAAATGAAGAACATTACTAAAAGTTATTATTAATATATAAATCAAAAAGAAATACAATTAATAAATACTGCTTGCTTTTCAAACAATCGAAAATTTAATTTGACAAACTCTCATACGAACTTTGAATGATGCTGATATTTTGATGAGATAGATAGGCATCATACATGGCATCATATACGTATGGGCATACTATACCTACAATTGAGATAATATAATATTTAAAATATTATACCAAACAACGTAAACAAAACGCGTTTCTATGGTAATATAATTTCGATTTCATTCCTTGATAGATGGTTGTCATGATACAAAATAAGAAAAAAAAATATGAAAGATGGTTATTGCAAGGTTATTGTTATTATTAATTTGAAGTAAAGTCTTATATTTTGCTATTTTAAAATGTAAGCACAAAATATATTATATGTATTAACCTTTTCCGTAGTATTGAATTAAATAAATGTTGTGCTTCTTTATCATATTATATAAAATTAATAATATCTCCGAGAATAACTCTTAGATCTTATAAAAGTTTACAAGATCTAAGTAATAACAAGAGGGATGTGTGGTAACAACTATCCATCAAAGAATGAAAACATAAAGACGGTATCACCATAGAAACGCGTTTGGAAATGGAAAAATATTTTCATCTTTTTTTATTTTTCTCTCGATTTTTCTCTAATAAGGATGAAAATTTTGTTTTAAAGAATTTGAAGGTATTTGAAGTATAAACGGAATTATCATTTTAGAAAAATCAAAAACTTTTATGTAGAATACATTATTCTCAAAAAGTTAATAATAAAAAAGTTTTTCCTCTTGAAAGACAATCCGGGGATTATACTGATTATATTTTATAATACACTGAAATTTTCTTGCCCATTAGACAGATCGAAAGTTTTTGCCTTGGTTTTTGCATTAGGTTTCTGGATTTTCGTTAAATTTCTGTAAATCATAAATTTCTACTCAGCTGTGGTAATCCTGTGAAATATGGTATGTCTATCTTTAGAAACTTATTTTTCTGGTGGCTCTTAAATTGTTACAGCCCTGTTTTTTTTTGTTTTATTTAATGACCTGATGTACCATAATTGATCATGCCAGACAGGTACCTGAACCATCACACAAAGCCACCTTTTATTTTGAACCCAGTCTTTAATTATATTGAGCCGCCATACATCGGAACAACAACAGAAACTATTATAATAAGTAAAGTAAGTAAGTAGTAATAATATAACTATTAGGTTCGTTCTATGCAAACTTATTAGTTTTATAGAGAGTTGTCACTATATTTCTATATATAGTATAAGTACCATTACATTTCTAGGTAATAATTACAGGATCTTTGTTCTGGTATTTGAGGGTCTGGGACACGGGAGCTCACAGATATATTGAGATTCAGGTATGTTCTAGAAACAGTGCAACGCTGTCAGAAACCTCATCATTTCTCTATAGAGACGTCGAAAAATATCGATAGTTATAAATATAGCTATATAAGGATCTCGAGAAGGATATATTCCGAGTATTTCTTGCAAAATTAATTCCAAATGGAAGTGTTCTAAAATGCCTGTTGATATAATCGTTACTCCTAAGTTAATACCTACTTACTTTTCTAAGTTTGAAACCATATACCTATTGCTATCGATATTATTCCGAAAAACGCCCCATCTCTATTGTGATCCGCTGGGAAACGTCAGAAACGGACGTGCCTCCGTTACGTCAGCGGGGCAACAGCTGACAACTTTGGTCGCGCAACGTTGCCGGGTCTTACCCAATAGCGTTGCCAATCGGAAAAGAAAAGAATGTTACAATCGATATAAGTGAGAACGTTGGAACTGCTTGATTTTTTCTATTAAGAAATTTGAATTAGTATTATTTAAACCAATAGTTCTTAGATCTATACCTTGAACTATACTGGTAACATTATTGAATTCAATAGTACATACCTATAAATACACTATTATTACGTTTTTTTATCTCATTAATAATTTACAACGTAATTTAATTTTTATATATCTGTTATTTACGTATTATAACGGTACTATCTAGAAATTCGTTGTGTTTATTTTATAGCCAAGCGTTTCAATGAAGTTCGATAGTTTTGTTTACTTGATTTATACTATTTAAAAATAATACTGACACACTATTATTCCGAATTTCATTATCATTTTAAAAATTTGTTTGAAATGAGAATGACATTTGGAATAATGGCATATTGAAAACTACGTTTCAGTAGATATGAGCATCATCATCAGATGATGAAACTTGTTTTGTGTTTCGATTAGTATGTAATTTTTAGCTATATCTAATAGTTACTAATGTTTCAAACTATAGTGTAGAGTCAAAAAAAGATTAAGTCACCACTGCACTGTATTAAACCATACCTAATAATAATAATGTCGAAAACCACGAATTTCATAAGTTTCTTTCTACATAACCACTGACGAATATCCTACTCGAAAATTACCCAAACTAAAAGTGTCAGAGGAATAAGAATTATTAGTAATACATCTTTAGAATTAATGTGATTTAGGAATGGTATAATACCGGGTGTGTCTCAAAAGTGCCTCACCCCTATAACTTTTTTATTTTTTTCAAAAAAAAATACGAGATTTGGTATGTTAGTATATGACCATAGGTATATGACATAAATTAGGATTGATTGACATGTTGTTTTTGGTCACTTCATATTTGACCGGAAATTACTACAACTTTTGATTTTTAAATGGCACCATCGGTATTTTTTTTACTTTATTCGATAAGATATGAAATTCTGAATTGAATGACATATCATATGTCAATTTTTGACATTCTCGCTTAATAAAAAATCGTGTTTTAAATTTCAATCTAGAGTGCCATGGCTATGTTAAAAACTCTAATTCTTAATGAAGGAGCCTTTTGGAAAAATAGATTTTATCGTCTAATGTTTTTAGTGCCTTGCACTGGCTGGTTAAAACATGAGCAAATTATATTTTTAATAATATCTCATTTTTTTTCAAATGGAACAAGGGTAGCTCATTAGCATCTTTGACAAAAGCATTTTTTAATATATTAAATAAAATATAATTTGATACCACACACTTAGTATTTCGAGTCAAATTTTCGTTATGAACTGCATGTTATAATTTCAAATTGCGAAAAAGTCAAAAGTTGACATATGATATGTCATTCTATTCAGTGTGTTATTTTCTATCGAAAATAGTAAAAAAATGCCGAGGGTGTCATTTAAAAATCAAAAGTTGTAGTCATTTTCGGTCAAACGGGAACTGACCAAAAACAATTGAATGTATCAATCAATCCTAATTTATGTCATATACCGACATACCAAATCTCGTTTTTTTATCTGAAAAAAAAGGTATAGGGGTGAGCTACTTTTGAGACGCACCTGGTATATCAAAATATGAACAATATTTAGCGAGCTAATATCATGTTTTTTTTTAATTTTAGTAATATTTAGTAGTAAGTATATTTGGTAGTAAGTGAAATTTTTGAAATTTTAGTAATAACCTCTAAGAATGTACGTGTATCTGTGAATTCTATACCCAGTGGTATATGACAAAAACATGATTTTGGTTATATTCTAGGAACTCTATTAATCTATTTGTTATAACTAACTGCCAAGGATTTTTAGAAGTTTTAATTTTATCCATCATCTTGAGATAAAATGTTATAAGTTTAATAGTTAATTCCTTAATTATACTGGATTTTTCTTGATAGATCTATGAGACAATTTGATTTTTTTAAGAATTTGAGATATACTTGAGTCATATTGATTTCCTAATAATACTTATATCGAGACTTATACACAGTAAATTTAGAAATGATACATACACCTGTTATCTGTATACGAGTAAATTTCTAGATATATTAAAGGGAAACAAAATGTATTCTTATACGTTTCTTAAATTTTAATAAAGGTACATTTTTTTCTTAAAATCCGCCTTTTTAAGCGGTTAAAATACAGTTGCTGTACTGTTAATGTTCATAAG